GTTAGTTAGAAATATAGCTTTAGCGACACATTTTTATGTATAGTTTACAAAGGTTTAATAAAGCACACTTAACTAACTTGACAGAGGGTTATTATAAAAAAAAAAAAAATAAAAAATAAAAATTTTAAATATTTTTTTAAAAAAATTTTTTTTTAAAAATAAATAAAATTTTCAAGTATATAAAACTGGAATATATTATAATCAAATAAATTTCTTTTGAGAAAAACTTATTAAATAAATTAAAAACTTTCTAAAAAAAAATTTAAATTATTTTTATTATTTTTCTTTTTTAGTTACTTTGTCAATTCATTATTTTTTAAAATAATCAATAATATTAAATTATTAAAATTAATTCTAATAATTAGAAATCAAGTATTAAACTACTAGAAATATATAATATTATTTCTTAAATTTGATTTATAATATCTAGTTATTTAGTTTAAACTAGTTTAATGAACTTTTCATATTTTTTAAATAATATATATAGTTCTTCAATTAATATTATGTAAAAATGAATTAGTTATCATATGAAAGGTTATATAATATTGTAATATTTATTTAATATCTCAATAAAAACATATTATAATAGCATAATTGTAAGTAAAAAAAAATATAAATAAATAATAATAATAATAATTAAATTGATATTATAATTTACATTAATAGCTTGTAAGCAATAATATTAATAGTTAAAAGAATATTCATTTGAACTATTAATAGAATAAAAAATCACTTTCAAAGTTATATTTAAAGTTAATTAAGATACTGTAAATGAGTTAAAAAAATAGTTTTAATGATATATAAAAACATATAACTAAAAAAAAAAAAAAAAATTAATTGATATTATAATATAAATTCATTTCTTATATTATTAATTTATACAGTATATTATACAGTATCTAATAATAATAATAAATCAAAATATTATACAATACGATCGTTAAGTTGAATTCTTCAAATTTACATTGTTTCGAACGTGACCTGACAATTAATTAGAGATATTATGCATTTCAAATTTTATGATGTATCGATTCCGGATGAGTGATGCTTAAGATCATAAATGATAAATTAATATTAAAAATATCAGAAATATCGATCGAAAATTCGAGGATATCAAGCGCTCGAGAGATATCATTATTGATCTCGCCACATTTAACTTCTGAAACTTCATATTTATTTAACCAACGAGTTTCCTTTTACGAATTCGAAAATAAAATTTACTTGTTAAAAAAAAAAAAAAAAAAAAATCAACATATTTAATTCACTATGGCGTATTCACAAATATGTGTTACTCAACTTATCACTCTCTTCTTCATGGTTACTTTCTTCTTGACGTTTTCTCGTGCCTCGCCTCTCCTTCATGATCGCCAACTCATTCCTTCGTCCCTATTTGGCGGTGGGAAATCTCCCTTTCTATATGGTAATTCGCAACAAGCAACAAATGCGAACGGAAACAGTGCAAACGCTCATAATGCGGAAGTTCAAGCAAATAATGCCAACGAAGCCAGTAAGAGTCTTGATACAAATCATGCGAACACTTTTATGATCAACAAACGCCAATTAGGCCAACTCGGTAAGGGTCTCGCTTACTTGACCAATGCCGGAGAAACAAAAGCTAGCAGCAACAACGCTAATGCTCAAAATGTGGAAGCACAAGCCAATAATGCCAACGAATGCAGCAGTAGCTACGGTAATAATCATGCGAATAACTTTGTTATCAACAAACGCCGATTAGGCACTGGTAAAGGTCTTGCTTACCTGAGCAATGCGGGTGAAACGAAATACAACAACAACCAAGCTAATACGCAAAATGCACAAGTTCAAGCCAATAATGCTCATGAACATAACTTCAACATTGACAGCGCATCATCAGGCACTTCTATGTTCGGTAAGCGTATGAATATCAAACAACCATTTTTATACGCAAGCAACAACGCCGAAAATCATGCTCATGAACAGGCTGCTAGCATGAACAACTTAGCGGCCAATGTTAACGATGCGAATATGGGAAGTTACAACCTTCAGAACCAGAACGCCGCGACAAAGATGTTGAACAAACGCGATTCTTTGGAATAATTATGAATCTAGAGATAGATCGTTTACACGAAAATAGAAAGAAAATTCTTTAATTTAATTTATTTATTTATTTATTATTTATTTTCTAAGATTTTCTTCTGTACGATTTTAGAATCGTTGACACTAAAGATCATAATAAAGAATTAATTCGCCATACTATTTTTCTGTCTTTTACTTTACAATTTTTAATAATTATTCAAGCATATGGGTAGACAAGGAAAAAGGGACAAAATATCGTCTTTCGGTTTTTAAAGTGACATTTAAAGAAATACTTCAGAATGAATCCATCATGAAAATCGTAAACAGATTCTAGAAAGATCGAAAATTCCCCTATATAACCGGGAATTAATGATTCTTAAATTTATTTATAAAAAAAAAAAAATAGTATGACAATTAAATGAAAAAAAATTTTTTTCCCTAATATTTAGTATGTCTACCTCTAGCTTTAATACACTTTTGGTACATCTCGGCATACTTAAAATCAAATTACGCAAAGTATCTATGGTAAATTTGCCCATTCTTCTTGTGCGACCCGAATTAAATCTTGTTATGCAATAGAAACAAGATTTTGCTAAAATATAGTGATTGAATTATTGTAAAAATATAATATTAAATAATTTGCGAATATAATAATACTATATATAACATATATACTGTATATTTTTAACCCATAATCATATTATGATAGCTTGTCTTCATTGAGAAATTAAAACAAATCTATTACAAATTATAGACTTTTACAAAGTGACCAACTCATCTTTATACAAAAGTACTCTAAGTCAGATTTTGAAGACAATATTATACTCTTCTAATATGATTGAATTAATTACTATTTACCAAAATAATTATTAACAATTTATTATTTTTTATTAATTAATTCAAAAATCAATGAATTGTTAAGTTAGAGGAAAAAGAGAATTAACAATTTACAGTAAAAAAGAAAATAATTCAAGGTTCTATTAAAAAAGTATGAAACAAAACTATTATCCTCTTAAAAGAATTACCTAATTAAAATATTCTTTTTGCTTTACTTAAATTTTTAAAAAAAATTTTTTTGTTATTACTTATAGTATTAGACAAATCAATTTAATCAATTTTTTATTTAAGCAAGTATCAATTCAAAATATCTCAAAAAAAGCATTAAAATCTTAATTTTTATCTATTTAAGTTTTATTATTACTTGAAAAATTTTGAAAAGAGACAAAAATTTACAATTTACATTATTTATTTTTTAGTTTTTTGATATTATAGATATCTTCCTTAAAGAACTTGAGTTTTTAAAAAACAAATATTTTTAGAATACTCTTTTTAATTATTAATAACATTATTAAAATATGTGGATATAATTAATAGAAACTTGTTTATATTTCAAAAACTAATATATTTTATATCAATTAATTATTTTTAGTAAAAATTTATATTAATCAAAATTTAAGATCAAATTGAAATATATAAAATTTTTTAAAAAACCATAAAAGTAGAAGTTTTTTAAAAAATTCAAAACAGTTAAAAATAAAATAAAATCCATTTTTTTAATATAAAAAATCTTTATAAATCTATTGTTTCAAAGATTAAAAAAATCTTTAAAACTTTATAATCAGTTTTTTTTTTTTTAAAAACTTTCTTGTCATTAATATTAAAGGCACTACTTGACTTTTTCTGATTACTGAAAATCAAGTTTTTAGGTGAAAAGATTTATAAATAATAAAAAAAAATAGAAATAATTCTTGAAGTCTAATTTTAAATTGTTTTAAGAATAATATTAAAACTTTATTAATAAGGAAGTGAAAAACTTTTTACAAATATTTTTTTATATATAGTTAAAGAATTAATAAAAAAAGTTTTATCTATATAACAATATTATATTTATAATATATTATAATTTATATTTATTTTTTTATAATTATATTTTTTTAATTAACTTATTTTGCTTTATTTATAATAAAATATATGTTGTTTATAAAAATTTATATATAATAGCTTACAAAAGTTCTATATTACCTATTAATTTTATTAATAAATACAGTATATATAAAAATTAAAAAATTTTAAATAATTAAAATTAAAT